GAATCGAATCGAATCGAATTAAATCGAATCGTGGATCGAATCGATTCTGGACCTTGTGAATCGGAATTGAATCGATTCTAAAAATCAGTGACGATACCCAGCCCTAATAACCTGGTATGGTTTCTGGAAAAAAAGTTTCAAGGTCAACTTTGACCTCGGGCTCTAACGATGAAGGTCAAGGTCAAATGCTTAGCCAACCTAGGCACTCATGTCCCCCAAGGCCTAGTATATTATTGTGAAGTTTTAAGGGACTCCATTGAAGTTTTTATTAATTTTCACATTTGGTGTGACCTTGACCTTGACCTGATTTTCATCACAGTTAACTCAGCTTGAGCTGTTATTGGTATCTACCGTCACACAAAATTTGAAAATGATATCTTGAAAACTATGGACACTAGAATGCTAACAAACTGAAAAACAAAAACGAATCAATTACACACTCCCTCTGAGAGGGATACCTTCAGGTTTATTGTCTTTTTTTCTTTTTTCTTTTTTCTTTTTTACAGTGTTTATTTTGTATCAAGTATGTCACCAAAATATTGCTCACCAAAATATTATGACACAATGGTTGTTTTACGATTTCCCCTTTTTACCTATGGAATCACACTAAAAGCTAATCTAATGTTTATCCTTTTCATTCATACCTGTTATTATGCTGGCTTCTTCTTTTAGAAAGGGTTGTTGGAATAATATTTCTTCTCTTACTTTTCACTCTTGTTTTCTGTGTGTCTGTCTTTGTGTGTGCATGGACATGCGCTCTTAAAGGCAAGAAAAACTCCATCCTGCAGCACAAGGTGCAACACGACCTCAGCTCTGGTGAGCTCAACTACCAGGAGAATGAGATCATCCAGCAGATTGTGCAGCATGACAGGGACATGGCCCACTGTGCCCACCTCATGCAGAACGCTCCACCACAGACACCGCCCTCACCTACCCCTGTCATCTGGGCCCCACTCATCCAAGCACCTCTCCAGGCAGCAGCTGCCACCACCTCTGTAGCCATAGCCCTGACACACCACCCCCACCTCCCACCAACGCTCTTCAGACCTCCAGTTTCTGTCCTCGGTTCCCTGAAGGACCCTCCTAGTCGACATAAAAAGTTTCACACATTTGTTCCTTCATCCACATCACCTGGCTCTGCTGGGGACTCTCCTTCTAGCACACCTTCTAAGCTGCAAACTGGGATAGACATGCCATTGCTGGCGTCTTTCCGGGCCCAGCAAATTACATCAGGTTCAGGGGCAACTAGTTCAAGCCAGCATGCTTCAGGTAGCGGAATACAATGCGGACCTTGCGGGTCTGGGCCTGGGCCTGGGTCCAGTGGAGGAGGAACCTCCATGTTCCCGTTTGGTCAGTTTTCATCTGCTGGTTCACCTTCATCTAGTACGGCCCAGCTGCACCCTCTACCACAAAATCAAAAATCCTTCCGCTCTGGTACACCACCTCTCTCAAACCTCTTTCACCAAGGATCTATAGGTGGAAGCACAGGGTCAGGACTAAGTGGAAGTTTAGCTGGAGCTTGTGGTGGTGCTACGGGGTGGTCTTTAGGTGGAGCAGTTGGAGGTTTTGTGGAAGGGGCCACTGGTGGGGACACTTCCTGGGCGGGAGAGGACTATACAACTGGGTCGTTAGAAGTGACTTCTGGTGGGCACTCTGGGTTGGGAGGAGCTAATGGTGGATCAGTAGGAGGGATCTCAGGAGAAACCAATGTAGGAGTATCTGAGGGAGCAGTGGAAACTGTTTGTAGCAGGTTATCAGGTGGATTGGTGGTACCCAATACATGTGGGCCCATAACTGATACGGCAAAGAGATCAATTGGGGGGACTTCCAGAGGATCACTGGTAATAGCTTCCGGGGGGTCAGTCAGTGGAACTTCTGGAGAATCACTGGCAGTGACTACCACTGGAGGATCACTGGGACGGGCTTCTGATGGATCAGTGGGACTGGTTTATGGTGGAGCCTCAGGGGGAACATTTGGAGGATTTTCTTGTGATTCAACACAAGGGAATTCTGGGGGATCAATGGGGAGGACTTCTGGTGGATCAACAACTAGCCATTTAGGAGGAGGTTCAAGTGGGACAGTAGGAGGAGTGACTGGCGGACATATAGGCAGAGCAGTAAGTGGCACAATTGGAAGCCATATAGCAGGATCTACAGCTTGTTCTCTTGGAGGAATTACTTCTGGGCTTATTAGTTCCTCTCGCTGTCAGAGCCCTATATCTAATAATTCTCTATCTGGTCAGCTTCCCCAAAACCAACCACCTGCCAAGCCTCCTCAGGTGGCTCCTCTGCAGCAGTTTGCTGGAGGAGGCAGGACTACCAGTGGATTAAACCTTTTCCAGTCCCCTCCACAAGGTTCCCCATCCTCTGGTAGAGGACAGCACAGTCAGCAGCCTGCTGAGGGCTCCCCATCTTCCCTCAGCCATTCTAGCCTGGCAGGCCTCCAGTCTGGCTGCTTACCTCACCAGATGTCACTGGAAAGGTCTGCATTGGCTTCTCTGGCCCAGTATGGTTCAGCAAACGCCTCGCCCTGCCTTACTCCGGTCGCACCCAGTCCCACTGTTCAAAGCCCCGTGGCAGGCAGGACTTTCCACTACAGTGACCCTTCTAGTGTCACAGGATCCCACAGTTCTTTGCTCATGCCTCAAACTTGTTTTCCTTCACAGCTTCCAAGCCAGCCACAAAGTACAGGAAGAGATTCCCCTCTGGGACGTTTTTCTGAGGACCTAAAGCTTTTATCTAGCTCCCATTCATCCCTGCCCCAGGAGGTGGCCCAGGTCTTAAGCCACCAAACTCCTTGCTCTTCAATAGAAACTGGGTATTACCCTTCTCCATTTTCCTCTCCTACTCTTGTACCCAAACCCTGTAGCTCAGTGCCAGGGCACATGACTCCTCCAATCCAGATGTCTCCGGGGCACCCTCACCAGACTTATTCCTCCGGGGCCTCGCCAGCCTTGTCTTTACGGAGGGACTCTGCTGCCTTTTCATCTGATCTAGAACCTCAGTCTGTCCGCTCTAAACTCCCTTCAAATTTGTGAGGATTGATCACACCCTCCTGTGCTCCTTTGAACTAAAACACAAATGATCTCCATTTGTGGCATTCTTTTCTGTCTTCAGACTATTTTTCACTTTAATTTTACCAAGATTTTACATTTACTGTGATTTAAAAGACACTTCATAGGGCAACTCAGAGCTCTATAGTACACTTTGTTTGATTTATGCTTTTTCCTTTTATTATTCATTGATACTGTGTATATAGATAGAATTATATTTAACTGATAAGTTAATCAAGGGACTAGGAGGGTGTGAAAATGATCTCCATTTAAAAGACAGTCATTTTATTTATTTCTATAACTATGCCAAATTCATGTTGTGATGTTTAGGTGATTCAATGGACTACCCAATAATACTCGTTTTCTGCAGGAACCTATGCACTAACACCTGCATGTATCAATGTTTTTTCTTTCTTTCTTTTTTTTGCGTGTGTGTTTAAAAATTATCTAAATTTTTAGCGAAAAAACATGCTTTGAGACAGACTGACTCTTGTATTATCTCATTTAGGATCACATATTGTTGATCCTTAAATGTATCTATTAGATTGTACTTATTTATTCTCTGTATAATCTTTTCAAAACCTTGAGGGATGGAGAAGAGATTTTAGGAAACCAAAAAGACTTTTCCTGTGGGATAATACGTCACCTCTTCTTGATCCATTATCCTTGTTTTATACCACTTTCTCAAATTACTACTGTTTTTGAAGCAGGGGTACAGGGGTTCAGCGAGCTCCCCTCCGTCTAAATATTGAGACGTAACAGTATGTGAGTGACTGGCTTTCTGCAGAGTCCTCAATCATGTCCTAACAAGCTCACTTTGTCTTCCAAGCTCATGTTGCTAATGTGTGTAGAAAGCCTGTGAAAGCATATTTTTTTCCCCTGACTGTGAGCAACTGTTAATGTGTGAGTGTTAGTGCTAATATGTGTGAATCAGTGGAACAGTCAGATGCAAAGCAAAACTTTTTCCTAGAATAATCATCAGAGCCTTTTTACACAAAAACTAGGACTTCCATTAGCGTGTATGATGCACTGTGTAGCACGCAAACAATTTAAAGTAAAAAATAGCCAGATGTTTAATATCCCACAAACTAGACTTTCATAGGAAAAACAGTATATTCAGTACACAATCTGAAGTATTTGAAAAATGCTGGAAACTAGAATACACCTTGATATTTAATTACTTCTATTTTAGTTGTTATATGCTTTCAGCAAAGACATTTTTGAAAGCTAGTGCTGAGTTGGAGATGAAGTTGAATGTAAGTAAGTACTTTTGCTATTGTAGATTAACTGAAGGCACAATGCTCCAGGGGGTTAAGAGACTGTTCCACCACTGAAGAGGTCATGGATTCAATATCTTTGACAGATGTTTCCAGCAGCAGCAGCAGCAGCAGCCATTTCTACTGCCAAAGTGTCCTTTACCAAGACACAGAATAAGTACTTGCTAAATTGTTTGTGAGGTTATTGGATGTGTTACTCAGTTAAGTTCTCCAAAACAGATTACTCCTCTGCATGTGTTCCTTAAAGTATTGATGCACAACTACATTGCCAAAGTAAACCTGAGAAAAATTGTACAATTGCAATATAATCTCCAATACATAGATTAATTAACAAGTAAAAATAAGAGAGATTTTGACACACACACACACATACATATATATGTATATATATATATATATATATA